GTGCGTGTGTATTTTCTAGACTTTCGCTGCTGTTGCCGTTAGATTTGTTATTTTTCCCCACCACGTACGCTGATCAGATTTTTGTATACGACTTCTTTTGTAAGAAAAACGCACCTCGATAGGAAACGAAAAGAACCTTGAAATTGTAGAACGGCTCGGTTCGATTTCTTAAGCGTCGGCCACCAGTTTCTGCGGTATACACATTTTCTTCTGAACCGGCTCCATTGCCAGACCTTGGAATATCACCTTGACACTGAACTCTATTTTATCGTCTAGTCTCCGCCCGTGTAACGGTACCAAAACTTAATAGTTTTCACAAATTATGACGCAACCAATGAAATAATAGTCTACCGAAAGTTAACGCTTTTCGGCATGCCCAACTCGACGTGGGTCTCTTTAAAAGCGAAAATATAAAAGAAATTTAAATTGTAAACGTGAATTTTAAAATGCTTAGACTAATTTCACTAGAAGTAAACATACGAGGCAACATTCTTTTTAGGTTTCTAACGCGAGACAGAGATTTCATACGAGTACAACAAAAAGAAAATTGAACTATTCATAAGTTAATTCAAATCTGTCAACATTCCAATGATTTAACGTGGATCGTCAAAGTTATAGTTTACTACTACTCGATTAAAAAAAAAAAAAACACAATAATAAATAGTTTGTTTCAGCTATCATTAAACCGCGAATGACGAACCACTAAATTACAAAGAGTACATGAGCTTATCTTCATGAAAATGATATTGCATTCTTTCTTTTACCGTGCTAAATAGGGTGGCGTATGCCCTACACTTATTTCTGGTCGCGGCTGTGTAGGGTTTTTATAAATACACTACAGAGGGCAGTGACTCAAGTAAACACGTGAGCGTAATTCGACTTTGGAGTTAAATTCAAAAATAAACACATCGAAATTAATAAAAAAAAAAATAGCAAATTCTATAGAACGTAACACGTACAAACAGTAAGCAGTTTGTTTTCGAGCCGAGTGTGCGCTGCACTAATTTACCCCCTTTAAAAACGCGGACGTCGTCATATACATTTGTACAATAACAACAATGTTATTTCATGAAACCATACGGCCAACCGTGTTTATCCTAAATTGAATAATTGGACGCCCGCATAATGTAACCAATTGTAATATTGTCCTTGTTAAAAGTGGCATTGAGCGCATTTGTATACGGTCTTATGGGGTTACGGCGAAACGGGCTAATATAGCAAACAGCCATGACAGGGAAGGTGATAATTCGTCCTCACTAAGTGAGTCATAAATACTACAACGATTCCCTGTTAATTTCAGAAGATTAATATAACTTCTCACAACAATAATTGCAATTGAACATCTAAGTAGTTTTATTAATAATTAACGTTACATAACTTATTCGTTGTGTGTAACTGTTGTTACCATAGAAAACGTCACAGTTTCGGAATCATTAGAGAGAACACACGTTTTAGGAGGTACAATTTAATTTTTTCTCTTTTTAAAAATATGTCTAAACATGCCTTTTTTTCAAATTGTTCGATCTCCTCGAGTCTCTTTTAAATTACGCATAAAACAGTTAGACACTCGATCAAATAAGATGTAACTACAATCGAACAATATTATTTTCAAATACCGCTGATCGTTAAGGCATATATTATTAAAATGAAAAGAAAGTTTTCGAGATTCTTTCGTACCCAACCCCTGGAATTTTATTCATATATTGCGCGTGTTGTGATAAAAAAAAAAACCATTAAAGCTCATTAACAGTTATGACTAGTGAGTTATGCTTGGATATTATACGCCGTAGAGGTTCAAGGCCACGGTGAAATTCGTTGTACCATCCAAAGTATGAGATAACCGCTAGTAGCCCAAAAATAATAGCATAACTGTAAAACGTTCGGTTGGAAATTATAAGATAAATCACGTTGTGTACGCCCGTACTTTCAAAATTATTATTTGCTCATCGTTGAATTGTAAAGTCGTAGTAATTTTATGATCAGTGTTTGATTATTTCCGACAAAATATGAATTTATTTCCGCACGAAAAACGAACATCGCAGGGTGTTATTACCGGCAGTTGAGAAATTAATAGTGTAGAATCTATTTTACCGATGAGGGTAAGGTTACAACTGATGACACGGGCAGACTCCTACGGGATCGCCATAATTTCTATTAGACGTGCGCCCGCATTTAATAGCCAACACACGCGGGTTTTTGCTAACAGTCTAATACGTTTGTTTACCTTAATTTTTTGTCACGTCACGAGTTTGATAAATATGTCCGTTATCGTTTACCATACGAGTAGTTTACATTTAATTGTAATGACTTTAGGCGGATTCGCACTCGGGCCATGTATACCTCCCGAAAATTGAAACGCTATTTAGAAACACGAAATTTAAGTGACCAGACTATTCGATTGCGGTAACCGAAAATCCAATACAACCGACAATACCTACCAGAAACAAAACTTGACATTATGAATCCGGTCAGGTGAGTATATTTTGATAAATTTTCGAAAAACCTCTTGCAAAACACTCTAAGATTGTTCACTAGGAGAAGAAAAGGTTAATTAAAAAAAATTCTTACATTTATGATTTCAATGAAAATTTCTCTAATTGGTCTATGGTTGATTTAGTCCGTGTGTGTCTCTTAATTTTAAATAAATAACAGAGAAAGTCGACATGTGTAGCGGTTATGAAGTGAGGAGAAGGCAATTGATGGATTTAACAAGTTTAACTCAAAACATCTGTTAGATTTGAGTGATTTGGGCATCTAGATAAAGAAGAATATTAAACCTACACTTTTTCACAATCCCTTTAGGGTACACCATTTTATAAGTCCATGGCACTTTACTTCCGAGTTACGTGCCCTAAAAATGGATTTTCAAACTGACCTATTCACCTATATTAAACATGTAATTTACAAACAAAATAGTAAGTGGGTGTTCACCCACTCGAATAAAAAAGTCTGTGTTATAAAAAGTTATTTACGGATAATAACACGGACAAAGTAACGTCCGAAAGAAATGATCTATTGTCTTGTTACAAGACAACAATGAAAAATTCATTTCTGTAAAATAATAAATGTGAGAAAATTTTTTCTGTATGGGGAGAGTGCAATACTTGTAGTCATATTCTTATATTTACATGATCACGTGCTTTCATTAAATTTTGTATATGTCATTAAGTTTGTTCGGCTACTAAAACGAACCATCAAAGTGTTTTTGTCCCTTGAAATAAGTGAAAATCTGTTTTTGATTTCTTGTCTGTATAGAATAACTTCTGCATTAACATTGAGAGTTTTTTTACGGTTGTATGCGTTTTTCGGCGACAAACACAAATAAAATGCAGTGGTTGTTGTCACCGTGTTAAAATTAAACGCTTATGAAGTTTTTACGAACATATGTTCAGTATTATTTTGGTCATGTGCATACGAATATTCTTCGGGTCAGTACGGTGTCAGTGGAGTAGTCATAAGGAGGATCGTTCAACTTACAAGTTTGACCTTCGGGCAAACAAAAATCTGTGTTGGACTCACCTACCCGTCTGGCCACGTACACAATAATAATAACGAGTATTAGCCGCGTTAAGCTTAAACGAGCTAAAAAAAAACCCGAATGCAGTGTTGGTGAAGATAACGCATAGATGGAGAAAAAAAAATGGTCCCACCTCCGCGTCGGTCTTTCATGAATAATATAATCCGAAACGCAACAAAGATCACATCGACGTGGCTGTAAGACGGGGCAACACAAGAAAAGGGGGTAAGATGACGGATTACAGAAGGGCGGCGGCCGCGGTTGTGGGGCAGCGGAGGAGTAGTTGCCGGTTGGTGGCAGCAGCATTGTGTGCGAGAGCCGGTGTCGGCCGCCGGTCTAGTGGAGTCATTGACCACCCCCTCCCGCGGGGAGGGACAAACCGAAATATTCGGTAATTTGGGATGCCGTCTCGGCCGGCCAAAACGAAAAATAAAGAGAGGATGAAAAAAAAAAAAATTACATTATACGCGTTTTGAACCGGGGGAACCTGCCGCGAGTAGGAAGTGGAGAGGGTACGGGACGAGGTGTGTCTGTACGCGGCAACCGGTTTAAGTCATATCGCGTTGCGTTAGTTTTGTGCCTCGCACGCATATAATATATGCATATACACGGCACGGTACAATGTATCCGTGTATTATGTGCGTGCGCTTAAGTGAGTGATTGTACGCGCAAGTCTGTGAGAGGGGTGTGTATGTGTAGGGTTTGTGCGGCGGGCCGACGGAACGGGTGGCGGCGCGGGGAGGCTCCAACAAGTGCTGTGGACCGCGCCGTCGTCGTTGATGTGTAATGCAGCGACGGTGGTGTCCGCCCGACGCAAGGCGATGGGTTCAAGGATAAACATTTCGTATATTGTGGCGGTGCGCGAGAGTAGGTTGATGACCTGCGGTAACGCGGCATTTGTGAGAAGGGTTGCCCACACGGTGCGTTCACTGAAAACATGCGATCCTCCTTAGTCTCCGTATGAGAACACCTCTGCCTGAAAAAATACAATATTCGTTTAGGCATTATCCAATATTCGGTTTATTTTCGGTCTATGTGCCATCATCGCTAGTCTTAAAAAAATTCATACAAGCAGTATCAATTTTCGGTCTATATACTATCATCACCGGTCCATCGGTAAACGTTGGTTCGATTGGCTACAAATAAACACAAGTCCTACATAGTTAAAAAAGTAATAAAATATTGTGGAATAGAACTGAGCGACAATACCATTTCTTATTAATTTCTTAAATACGACACCTGTATCGTTTATTACATTTGTTCGGAGTTTTAGAGTTTAATGTAAATATTTTTTTTTAACTTTTAACAACTCTGGTAGGTTAGTACAATCTTTCAGCGTTTATACATTTCCAAAAAAAATTTATGTATGCAGTTTTGAAGACATTAAAATGTATTTTAAAAAACGGTTTACTGAAAATAATTCTTTGGTACGATTATGCGCCGAGTAATGTGTGTTATGAGATTTTTATAGTTCCAATATAGCAGTTAAGATTTTTTATCGTTTACATCGGTCGCAAACACGTATTAAAATTTCAAAATTCTATAGATTGCTATTCGATAGCGATAAAATGATTGCTCGGAACGTGTGTCATAATTCATATATCTCCGAAATAGTGAATTCTCATTTGGAACCATGTAAGTTTTTTACGCAGTACACGGCAATAATAATATACTTGGACGTATAATTCGTACATTGAATGTCGATTCATATCATTATTGAACAATACGGGTAAGCAAAGGTTACAGACTATGTTTATTTATTTGATTTACTGGTTTATTATCTTACAATACAATAAACTAACTTTAAAATCTTCATAAAAGGTTTCTATGACGATTTATTACTTGAATAGTATAAAAATAAAATTGTGTGTACATTGTAGCGTATAAAATATAAGCTGTATTACAAATCTAAAACTAATTAAAAATAATGATAATTCTTTAACATTTGTTTCGTAGGGCATTCAAATAAATTTCATTACAGGAATTAATTTCATTGTTGAAGTTCTAAATAAAATCCCTTTCTTGATTAGTCATGAGTTTATTTTCAATCACTTTTAACACGAATTTTAATGATGCAATATAATAAATATTAGGAGAATTTTAATATTAATTACCAGGGATTTATTTATTAAGTTTATTTTATTCATTCCGAATACATCAATGATAAATTCATATAGGTTTTTCTTAACACTAAACAATGTATATTAATTAAAACACATATTTATACACACTTTTGTTAATTTTTCACAAAATTGGGTGTCTCAAAAGTGGTTCAAACAAATTTTATAAATACATAAAGTCCCGAACCATGTTAATTACCATCAATTATTTTACAATGATCTATTTAACTTAATGAAATGAACTTTTCGGAAAAATAACACGTACATGATCATGGTGTTTATATTTTCAAATTTGATCCACCTAAGTTGTTGCATTTTATATGAAAATAAATAAATTAAATTAAAAATATATTTTTTTAAATTTCACAGGAACTTAAATGCCATTTGTTGATAGAATACATCACTTTAAAATATTTATGGACTATTTAATTGTTTTCAATTAGTTTAAATGAACGCCTGGATTTTCTTATTCCTCGTTCTAATTCGAGCAATCTTTTTCGATTAAGCCTTAATATCTACCAAAAAATACTCGGTGAAACAAACTTCAGTCTAAATAATTACATGATATTACTATTATTATATCTTTTTTTTTTTACACCAGACTTAATCCAGAATCTTGTTTCTTGTACGTCATATACAAAGACCATTGCTTACGTGCACATATAAATAAATGGACATTTGTATACAACTATCTATATATAATTCAGGTTTACCTACTTAAAATGTACACCGTCTCGACCTTCCTCTTGCACGCGGGTCCACTGCACTCAAAAAAACGCGTTGCACGGACACGCTGTCGCCAGCACAGTGGTCGAACCAAGGGAACTATGATCTCATACATTTAAATGAAAACAGTTGTCTGAAGTAAAAGAAACACGAATTCTCGGCGACTTATCGGTCACAAGACTTTAGGGTCAGACACAAATCGAAATGTAAGTAGGCATTGAACTCTTTCCAACAATTAAAACAGAACGGTTAAACATTTAAAAGTAATAATAATCATAATTTTTGGTTTTTTATTCAGATTTGAAGCAGCAAAATTTTGTACCAACACACAACTCTTCTAAACGGTCCATATTTTGTGATGAATATGAGCGTCTTGCAAGGTGTTTACTTTAAAAAACTCCTCTTGTAAACTCATTTTGAAAATGTTTTATAGTAAAGTATTATAATTCTTTCTTTAATCAATAGATTCTCGTATTCTCTATCGAGTTACAATTGTAATCGTCCCTTTTAATAAATTAGACCAGTCAGATGGTTTAAAATATCTATTAGCTAGAGTACAACATTTCTTTAAAATTTATTCTCACTTAGAGATATTAATACAAGAACAATTTTTACTATCAAATTAGGAAGTATATTTTTTGTGTTTGCGCATATATAACCTTATTCATAGCTTAGAGTTAAAAAAAAGTAATAATAATACATTAGCTAACAAAAAATAAAACAAATTATGCAAGGTCAGTACTTCCTTAACGAACTAAAAGTTAAGTTTTAGTTACCATAGTATCACTCATACATGTTGACAGAATATACATTTTCATATTAACTATAAAATAAAACATACTTTCTAATAACTGAAATATAAAATCGAATAACATATACAAACATGAATATAAAAATAATAAAATTGAACATGTAATCAGTTTTAAAGAAAATTTAAAATAATGTGTAGTTATTAAAAGTTTGAAAAAATAATGAAATTAATAAATTTTGAAATTTAAAATTCTACAGACTCGAAACTATTTTGACACAATTATGCCCATGCAAGACGTCTGCAGTGATGATTTTTTCGACGTCTACACTGTTGGTATGGCACGTGAACTTGTTTCCATATTTTCATCATCAAATATGTCTTGCGATCAGCAAAATGAACCATTCCGGAAGTGATATTACTCATTTTTTGAAAAACCCTATACCGAAAATACCCTATGGGATATTTCCATCAGCTAAATTATCATCAGAAAAAGCACCTGCAGTAGTAATCTTAACATGTAACTTACGCGTTCGAGTAAAACATAATCGCCCATTTAACTTGTTCCAGCAAACGCTGCCTAAGATACTGCAGTATTGGACCATAAGATAACGATTCTCAATTGAGAATCAATGCAAGAATATTCAGTTTCGTCCATTCGATCGAATCGAGGCAGAAATGTCTAGTATCATACAATAAGCCTATTGTGGATCTTGCAACATTGATGAAACTGCATGTATCAGACAGCGTTATTATATCGTTCAAGATTGAAACGATGAAAATTTTCTTATTCAAATAACGAATGAAAAGTGAGAATATGAAAAATATTTTTTAAGAGCCGATAGATAAAATAGAGACGAGACATTAAGTGAAAAATGTTAGTTGTTCGTTAGATTAAACTACTACAGAATCTTGGTGTCAATCAACACAACAAGGCCAACAAAAATAACGAGATTAAATATTTGAAATTAACATTAAATAAAAAATATTAAGAACTTATATTTATTATTTTAAAAGATTTACATTATTTATAACACATATATTTTACTTGGGCAAACGGCATTTTAATATTCAACGATTTAAACGTAAATAGAAGACAGGACATTTTCAATATTTTTTTGCAAAGCAGATTTGTTTCATATTCTTTTAACAACAAAAAACAGTTTTCGTTTCTCAATTAATTATTAACAGTTCAATACATAATATTTTCGAATTCAAAACTTTTATCAACCCATAATTTCATAATTATTTTAAAACGGTAACAACTTATTAATATAATAATAATTATATATTATTAACAATAATTATTATTGTTAATATAATATAAATATAATTGACTATATAAATAGGTATGCATAGAAATTCAGGTCCGTGGGTAATAAAATGTGTACTAACCCACAATATTTCCTAAATAGTTCATATTTTAAAGATATATGGGACCTTCGAGATGATGCAAGATAGATTTCCTAAATACTCATCTTGTAAACTTAATTTGAAAATTTATATAGTATTGTATAATCTTCATAATCATCGCGATTAAGCCAATTAGGCCAGGTTACAATTGTAACCGGCCCAGTTCAATAAATTAGACCAGTCAAAGACAGCAAATGAATCTTTTTCTGCTCGGGCACACACGTCTATGCCATTTACAACAGTTAAAAGAATTCGAGTACAATAAAAGTCTCTCCAGAACAGCACTTTGATAAAATGAAAATATTGAACCAAAAATTATGCATCGAAAAAAATATATCCCGAATGATTTAAACGGTGGTGCCGGCTGTTTTTTTTTTATTTTGTTTAATATTAATAATATATTCAAGAGTGTAAAAAAGGAACTATAGGATCCATAAGATTTTCGAGATTGTTGCTGCTGTATTTAAAACAAACAATTGCACATGGCCAGATTGGTCCCTTAGGAATATACACACAATAATAATAAAAAAAAGAGTATTCTAATAATAGAATATCGCGGGGTGTGTTTATTTTAGCCTGTTTCTTCATATTGAAATGGTTATTTTCAGCAATAGCGAAACATAAACTTACTGTACCGAGTTCCGCCAACTTGAATCATTTTCTAAATTTAATACATTCCTTAGGGCGATACCCTTGATATCCAATTACCACTGGAAAACAGGACTGATTTCACGTTCCTTGAATTATACGCGAAATGAAAAAAAAAAATTCATCTGCCAGAATTTATTTTGTAGCCGTTATCTTTTTTTAGAAACGACTTTAAATTTATAATTAATTAAAGAATAAATACTGCACATGATCTGATACAAGTTGTTCTTTTTTCTTTTCATTTTGTGTAGTCTACTTTCAATTTTTAATGACCATTCAATTACGATTTAAATAAACTTGATCGGCCGGATTATAACTTTCCCAATGGACCGTCGTGATTGTCTTTGGAAAAGTTCTTTGTGTAAATAATCACAGCGATGGTTAATAAAATTGACAAAAATTCATTTTATTTTATTTTAATTTATNGACCGTCGTGATTGTCTTTGGAAAAGTTCTTTGTGTAAATAATCACAGCGATGGTTAATAAAATTGACAAAAATTCATTTTAGTCTTGTTAATCCTTCAAATAAAACATTTCCATAACACAAATTCACATTATATTTATATTGTTATGAAAAGAATTGAATGGAATCTTATTAAATCTATACAACGAAAATATAAAGTATAAAATGTGCAATTCCTCTTAAAAAAATGTAAATTTTAATAAATAGTGATAAAAACGTTATATTTGTGTACAAATTTTCTATACATTATTTCCAAATTTCCACTAATTATGTATAAAATTAATAAGTATTTTAAAAATATCATATGGGAATTATCGGCTCATTTCTTACAGTGTAACTTAATTTTATAACCGTTCTGTTTATTAACATTACTATGTTTACTAAAAACTTAAAGTAAGTACAAATCTAATCGTAATTAGATAAAATATCTTAATTTAAGTACAAAATAAGATTTAAAATAATGTTACAAAACAAAATGAAATTTTTTCAAACAATCTTTAATATTATTCTTACTCAAAATATTGTCCGATGTAATCACTGATGATTCTCAAACTATTTAACGTGTTGTTTTATAATATTATACAGACAAATTATACGGACGTCTCCGAAAACCTGTTAGTTATCACCCAACATCGATATGGCAACTCCATAGTACATATTTAACAGAAGTGTATACATGTATCATGTGACGAAGATACAAAATATAAAAAATCGTTTCCTCCCTTAATTAACCCGATGTAAAAATTTACTAAAAACATTATCAATTAATTACTTAGTGTATTGATATCAGTTTTGGGGGTAAACTCAAGTATGTCGAGTTTTTTGACCTTTAAAAGATATTCCAGAACTCCATCCCTGTTAAACATATGTTGAACATAATAATACTTAAAAGACACGGCCGTATTTACGCGCTACATTCTAGTTGCACTTGAAAAAGAGCAACGTGGTCGTGATTGATGGGTTTGGTAAATTCGATTCGCCTTCACACATTTGCTCATTTTTTAATGGAATCCCTTCAAAGTTACTTAATAAATCACCAAAGAAACAAGTAGAATGATTAACAAGACATACTGAAACTTTAAATTGTTTAAACTGAAGTTTAACAATAATAGATTTGCAAGGCGTATTTAAGAAATACTTAGAAAGTCAATGACTAAATGTGTGATTATTTTTAATAGTAAATTATACTATTTAGAAGTGTGAAAATCTGAAGTGACACCAATAAACACGTTATGATAACATACATTGGATTCTCTCAGAAATAATTTAAGGCTTATTCAATAATNCTATTTAGAAGTGTGAAAATCTGAAGTGACACCAATAAACACGTTATGATAACATACATTGGATTCTCTCAGAAATAATTTTAGGCTTATTCAATAATTTTTGCACGGAGTGATTTGAGATTTNTTATTCAATAATTTTTGCACGGAGTGATTTGAGATTTAAACTTGAGCGTTATAGATGAAAATTCGAATTTATGTTAATTAATCGCAGTAAAATTAATAGTATACATTTGGTCGTATTGTATACTTGTAGGTTTATTAGAAACAAACCTATTTATCATGTTAACCGATTTAATTATGAGATGATACTTATTATTAATTAAATAACAATCGTTAAACACGCGAAAATTTGATGATTATGATTTAAGAATAGATTTAAATTTATTAATTATGAGCTAGTATGTTAACAACTATTTTTACCCCGATCAATTGACTGCACACAAAAACTTTATGATACCACAATGAATGTCTTTAGTAAAACCTCAGATTTATAATGTCATGTTAACTTAACATAATATCAATCATTTCTTGACTATTAATTAATATATCAATGATATAAATGTCTTGATAATAGATTGATATGTATATAAACTGTCGTATATTATGTTTACAAGTCTCAATGGATTCTTAAAATATTGCATTTCTATGGCTTCTTAAAAGTTGTGCATTTCTATAGCTTCATAAAGAAGCCATAAAATTGCATAAATATTAAGAAGCTATAAAAATACATAAGTTTTAAGAGACCTTAAAAATGCAAAAATATTAAGAAGCCATAAAAATGCATAAATATTAAGAAGCCATAGAAATACATAAGTTTTAAGAGACCATAAAAATTCAAAAAATATTAAGAAGCCATAAAAATGCATAAATATTAAGAAGCTTTAAAAATGCAAAAATATTAAGAAGCCATAAAAATGCAAAAATATTAAGAAGCCATAAAAATGCAAAAATATTAAGAAGCCATAAATATGAAAAATATTTAAGGTCAATAAAATATTTTCTTCTAACACAAAGACTTATTCAAAAATTTTAAGCCCGGAAGCTAATATGCTACCACCCCCTTTTTTTTGCTCATCAAAATATCAATGAATAAAAACAAAAAAAGTTATCAAAACATTTTTATACGCGGCTAAAAATATTCCAACTTTTCTAAACCTTGAGGGGCGGAATTATTACCCTCTAACCTGCCTGACTACGACACTGTTTTTCACCTACCGACCAACGACAAAAATTCAAACACAAATTTTTAAATAATAATGATAGCCGTATAATATAAAACCATATATAATAAAAATTCATTGTTTTAAATACTAACAGAACTGTCACTGATGACTGTATAAATAGTGTCACCAAAATACTGTGGCTACAACTGATTTCTGAATTATTTCTTGTAGATTATGCTTTTTTGTATGGTAACTGGTAAACGTGGCTATAGATAATATATAGCTCTATTATCTACAAATCTGATCTATAGTCGTGGTGCCAGGTGTTACAATCTTAGAATATCATCGATAAAAAAAAATTAACTGATTTCTATTATTGTTTATTAACAGAAGAAGTGTTGTGTAAAAATTTAATCTCGCCTGAGTCGTTTGTCCCCAATAGCCCCCCAAAAATACGTCATTCTTCCAACATCATTAAATTCGATGATTCGATTTTTCGGTGGCATACCGACGTCTGATTAGATTATTGAGTATTTGTAACTTATTCAATTATAAACGTTTTATAATTTCATAATGAGGCGTATTATTTTGAGTTAATGTATTCATTGAAATTATATCGGGCGAACATATTTTGAAAAGTTGCAGTTATCTATGAATTAAAATAATATTTTTGTAATTTGACACTTAAAAGGCCGATTTTGTGTTATGTATTTTTTTTAACGCTTCGTTCCCCTACGATGAACACCCTTCCTCGATTTATGTACGAATATAATATCACTACTACTTTCCAAAGCGCAATAATTATCGTGGTTATAAGACTAAAACATACCAAGATTATCGCTACGTATGATTTTTATGAACAAGTTGTTTTCTCGGAAAACGCTAAAAATATCTAGCGCATTCTGTTTGCGGTTTCATTGATCCGTCTGAACGTGTAAAAACTACACTGATCTATGCCAGTTGTTTATGCGGTAAATAGTCGAAGCTGGTTCGGAAATGTCGCGGACAAACACACAACAATAGTAATAACTGTAGCTGGTGTAAGGAGAACACGTTGGCCGAGCTAGTTAAGGTCTATTTTATGGTTTCCTACAAGTCGTGATGTTGCACATGCATCGTCTACCTATTCGAATATTATTACGAGCTGCAGCCGAGAAGACTCGCTTTGCCGCCGGTACAACATAAAAAACCCGCTATGTGCAGCAGTTAAGAGTCCGGCAGACCGTGTCTGAGGAATCAAC